AATGTTTTTCTTCTCAGTAGCATCGGCTTTTTGACAACTATCAATTAAAGCTCCTTTTTTCATAAAGACTGTTTTCTTCATTATTAAAGATAATCTTATCGTATTTGGATTAAATATCTCACTGATGTTTCGTCCTGGGTGGTTTAATAAGTGTTGCTATGCTACTACAGTTAGCTGCTTGCTAGCAACACTGGCATAATTAATTTACAGTGTCTATAGTAAACAAAAGCTATATGTTTATGGGTTCAGTGGCTAGTTTCACATCTTTATAGAACATGCAAGGTCTCTTAAACAGATCCACCTCTCGTTTGAGTGATGCCTCATTAAACAAGGAGGACTTTACGGCAGCTACATTCATCTTTTATGTACAGTCTATGCACACATCGTGCAGCACTGGAGTTAAAGGCTGTTTGAATCAGATTTAAAATTCAGATATAAAACCTGTGCAGACAGATCATCTCCGCTGAGGCTTCTGCACGGCACAGATGATAAAGTGTATTTAACACGTTTTCAAACCCGACAGTCAGAAAGCCTCCTGTGAGCAGCACCCAGTGATAGTGGAGAGGAAGAAGTCACGTTTACCAGCCTACGAAATGTAACTAAAGCTCAGGACTGTTGGTGGATATGCAGGTGGCTCATAGAGCAGTGCTCGGGAAGCAGTGTGGAAAAGTCTTTGACCTAATCTTGCAGCATCTAGAGCAGAGGTGGGGAAGTCGAGGGCCGGGCTCTTGCAGGTTTTAGACGCGTCCTTGATCCATCACAGCTGATTTAAATGGTTAAATTACCTCATCAACATGTCTTGAAGTTCTCCAGAGGCCTGGGAATGAACTCATCATTGGATTCAGGTGTGTTGACCCAGGGTGGGATCTAAAACCTGCAGGACACCGGCCCCTGGGGCCTGGAGTTCCCCATCCTGATCTTGAGCGATGAGCCTCAAAGCTCACTGTACTCGAAAGAAATTTCATAGTTCATAAATTTAATATTTTCTAATAAGAAAAAAAGATGGTCCGGTGATTTTCGAGCACTGGGCTTCTCTTCACCTCAAACTCAATAGTTTGATATTTTCTCATTCTGGTTCAAATCACCTCAAAATAATTTTTTCAACAGAGCTTCAGGGTTTGAATCTTTTATTTTTTATTTTTCTTTGACAAAAACCTTATTATTCACTGCTCTCATTCAACAGCACCAAGAAAATGTGAAAATACTTTCAGTTCTTGAGTTTTCATTGAACAACACTGAGGGAAATCAGACTGCGGTGACTGACGGGCAGCTACAGGTCTGATTATTGCCTCGTTTGTTCTCGTGTTTATAGTTGCGTCTGTATTGATTCATTGTTTTCATGCATTTTAAATAAATGTTCAGAGACATCCCTTTTATGTGAGAGCATAATTTGAAAATTACATTTCATACATCCACTGTGGAGACTTCACAAAGCTTCTATAGAAAACGATCAGACTAAACCAAAGAAAGATCTGAACTTACTGCCTACAAAGTGACGTTGGATCGATGTTTTCAACACATAACAAGACAACTTGTGACTCTCTATCATTTATTGTTTTGTTTTTAATGTCATTTTAGGTTTTTTGGACAAAGCCTGAAGAATTTTTTATTTATTTATGTGTTTTTTTTCCTGCTCTCGTGTTTCCTGACAAATACAGATTCTGCGTTTTTCTTCCATAAACCCGTCTTGTGTTTTAAAATGTTTTAAAAGCAGCAAAATCAAAACTTGCAGTCTTGTGCAGATGTGATAATATGAGGTAACATCCAAGATAGATGTGCTTGAAACATCGCCCTGAGGCAATGAATAGAAAAACTGCGTTTCGGACTGTGTAAATAAGCCTGGTTTTCTGCACATTTATACAAACACGCACCTTTTTACTTTTACAGTTCATTTCATTCTTCTTCTTGATGCTCAACAGTGACTCCCACACCTTATTGGACTAATCTTTTATTGTTTGCATTCATTTAAGAAACCTTTATGGGGCTTTTGAGGATTTTCCACTTGGTGATTGTGACTGCAGTGAAAGGTTTATATGCAGGAAGCTGACGTTTTTGGCTGATCATTCCTCCGATCATGTGATTCCTCCAACCTCAGAACAATGTGAAATGAGCACCGTGGGCATTAAATAATTTTTCCTATAACCCATTGGTCCTGGGAAACATCACTTCCTATACACTATAAATATTTCTCGGAATTACCAAAAGTATCAGGTGTTCTGGGCAGGAAGTGTGAAAGCTTTCACTGGATGAGTATTAAATCATTAGCTCTATATCTGAAGGCTGCGTGGGATCGGCCCTTTAAAGATCCTTGTTGTGCTGTTGCAGAAGACCTATTGGCAATGGCCCCCTTGTGTCACATAACACGTAATTTATTGGATGCTTGGTTATCGCCCTAATGCTGCTCCACTCAAGTCTCATCATTTAGCGTTGCTCTTGGCAGCAGTTGCTACGCTTTGGGCTTTTACCTGAATGAATACACCCTTGAGCGTCCTAAGTTTCTCACGTGTCTGAGTGAGATTAAGCTTCGTAAACACGGG